TTTCTAAATTTTTTAGGGGTCCCCCGGGCTGGATGGAATGGCCTGGCAGGCCGCATCTGGCCCGCAGGCTGAATTTGCCCACCCCTGAGTTAAACTGATCCTCCTGATCCAACAGAAGTTCACTGTTGGGTTGGGAGGCTGGGTGATCACTTTCCAATTTGGAGCCGATCCAGGGAGAGAGGCTGTGTCTCTGTAGCCTCTTCCCCTAGCTCTGCCCTGCCTTCCACAGCTCCCATTCTGTCTCAGGATGGAAGGGGGAGAAGGCAGGGGACGGGGGTCCAATTCTGGGGTTTCCACACCCTCCTGCAGGGTGGGGCACTCCCCAGAATGGGCTTCTTCTGCTTCCTACCCCTCTTCCATTCTGAAAACGGCACCAGGAGCAGTGCTGGGCTGCGACAGCTGAGCCCTGCTCCTGGCATCCACAGACAGAAGTTAATGAATATGCTCCACTTCGGAGCATCTTGATCTGAACACTTATGTAATGAGGGTTCAGGTTGTCATGAGGTTAGGCCCTTTTAAAGCGTTCTCCAGCCATGCATTTGGCCATGGCTGTAGAGCACTCTCAGGGGCCAGATCAGGTGCAAACTGTCACTTCTGTCTGCGCCTTATGTGTCTCTGTCTTGCATCTGTCTATTACTCTGTAGGCAGAGCAGCGCAAGCTTTCTTAATTACTTAGCTGAGGAAAACAACTTGGTTACATTTGATTCTTTCCCACTTCACTCCCATCCTCCAAACCTTTCCTGGGTGAACCACAGACTAATGGGATCATGGGACCATCATCTTCCCAATTTACAGGCTGGGGGGTATGCAAGTGGGTGGGGATTATTTCTTGGTGGAGTGCCACACCCACCCAGCTAGTCAAGCCCTACCCCACCCTTACTGGCTCCCTCCATGTTGCTCTCCTAATCCAGGTACTCAGGACTGAGAGATATGCAGATGAAACTGTTACCTATAGGCACACCTGAGCCCAGGGTAAGTGAGGATCTAGTTAGGGAGCTGCTGGAGGGGCTGGATGTTTTTAAGTCAGCCGGTCCGGATGATCTCCACCCTAGAGTTCTAAAGGAACTGGCCGGGGTCATTGCGAGTCCCCTGGCACAGCTTTATGAGCACTCGTGGTGCTCTGGAGAGGTGCCGGAGGACTGGAAGAGGGCAAACGTGGTTCCCATCTTCAAAAAGGGGAGGAAGGAGGACCCGGGAAACTATAGGCCAGTCAGTCTTACCTCGATCCTGGGCAAGCTGTTCGAGAAAATTATTCTGGCACACATCCAGGAGGGGCCAGCAGGGAAATGCATGCTCAGGGGCAACCAGCACGGGTTCATCAGCGGCAGGTCATGTCAGACCAACCTGGTGGCCTTCTATGATCAGGTCACTAAATCATTGGATGCAGGGGTAGCAGTAGATATAGTCTTCCTGGACTTCCGGAAGGCTTTCGACACTGTCTCTCACCCCGTTCTCATTAGGAAACTGGGGAACTGTGGCGTAGACACCCACACAGTCCAATGGGTCGCCAACTGGCTAGAGAGCCACACCCAGAGGGTGGTAGTGGATGGGTCCTTCTCGGCCTGGAAGGACGGGGGCAGTGGGGTCCCGCAGGGCTCGGTCCTCGGGCCCGCCCTGTTCAACATCTTCATCAGTGATTTGGATGAGGGGGTGCAAAGCACCCTGTTCAAATTTGCTGATGACACCAAGATGTGGGGGGATGTGGGCACAATAGAAGGGAGCAACAGGCTACAGTCGGACCTTGACAGGTTACAAGGATGGGCGGAGGAGAACAGGATGGGGTTCAACACAGACAAGTGCAAGGTGATGCACCTGGGGAGGAACAACCAGCACCATACCTACAGGCTGGGGAACTCCCCTCTTGTCAGCACGGAGGTGGAAAAGGAGCTTGGAGTCATTATTGACTCCAAGATGAACATGGCTCGGCAGTGTGGGGAGGCGGCTAGGAAGGCCAACTGTACCTTGTCGTGCATCCACAGATGCATTTCAAGCAGGACCAAGGAGGTGACCCTCCCCCTCTATGCGGCACTGGTCAGGCCGCAGCTGGAGCGCTGCGTCCAGTTCTGGGAGCCGCACTTCAGGAGGGATGTGGACAGCAT